AGGAAGTGTGGCTTCTGTAATTGGATGTTGAAGTGCTGCGGTTACGCTTTCCATGTTTTCAAACACACTACTTACCTGGCATACAGCATCTGTGCACAGACTGTTTATAAGCACTTCCTCAGCCAAATGAGACGGAGCCCCCTCACTTCTCACTGATTGGTTTTTATCAGTATGCTCCACATATCGACTGCAGAGCGCCTGCAACGGTAGGGAAGAGATGTTACTCAGGTTAAACAAATGGAACATTTAAGGAGAGGCTGGGAAGGGATATCCTACTCTCGGCAGCATAAAAGGCAGAGATATAGCTGGATATGTGGGAGGACTTGGTGTCAGAGAACTGCTGATGATATAGTCATACCCTCCTCAGCGATAATATGTGTGTCTAAAATCTTGCCTGAAGATAGATGAAATAACATGAATACGAGCACAGTCTGACAAACTGGTATTTGTTGAAGAATTAATAGCATGACACGTCTCTTTGCCTCAAACCACATCATGCAGTTGTTTCGGCTGTTTTATTTTTATACACCGGTTATGATTCATGATCTACTGAAGAAAAGGCTGTATCTTCTTTCACTCTCCTCCACGCTGACTGTCCGATGGCTTAACGTAGGTAATGATTACATCTCACATTACATTCTCAGGCTTAAATAAAAGCTACAAGCTTCATTTAAAAGAATTTAGTGGATTTATTTTCAAATCTCTACATCGTCTGCACTGATTATTGATTATGGAAAAGTAATGGAGGCTAGATTAACTGGTCTCTTTCCATTATCCACGTTCATTCCTGAAGGACCCTCTGAAGAGGCTATAGGCGGGAGGCTCACACACTCTTTCAAGCCTGAGTCATAAAAGTCTGTTTAATTCCCATACAATGGCTTTAACTGAGGCACTACATTGTGGGATATCAACATCACAGGAGTATAAAATAAACTAAGACCACAATTTAAAAGATGAAAAGACCAACAGACTCATCATCCCACATTTCGAAGGTCTGAATGCTGCCAAGAAATTGGAGCTTGTCGATTTCTCTTTTTGTACAGTTAAGAGCTTTGTGCCCTTAACATTTGTTTGTCTGCTCTCCTGCTGTGTTAAACCCAAAGGAACTGAATTACAGGACCAGCATGTAATGTGTTAAAGCACCATGCTGCCTAACAAAATCATTTTAACATTCATTCTTGTGTTTGGAGCTGGTTTATATTTGTCCTCTTTATTTTTAGTTCTGATGTGCTGATATTACTCTGTAGATGTTAATAAAATGCAACTAATCTTAAAAATAAATAAATAAATATAAGCAAAATTGTCAGTAGCTGAGGAAAGTATGTACCAAAAAAATGTTTTTTGTTATTGTGCCTTTGTATTGTTGTGAAAGTATCCTTAGTTTTTAATATCATGGCTACACTCTAAAAAATCCTGGGTTATTTTTTTAACCCAAATGCTGGGTTAAGTCTTTTAAGCCATTTTTTGGGTTATTTTTTCAGTGTTTGGGTAGTTTTTGTGTTACCCAGCTCCTGGGTCAAATGTAACAACCCAGTGTTTGGGTTGTTTTGGCGTCTTCCCTTCTCGAGAGAGCAGTTCTAATCGCCATCGAATTGATGCATTCTTCGGTAAAATACAGGTTTGTGTACATTTTATTTTATCTATAAAATCGTTACTGTGCTGTATATCGTTCAATTTTATGCAGAGCAACATACAGGCGCGCGGTGTGAATCACCTTTAACGAGTGTCGCGGTCTTTTTGCGAAAGTTGGAAAAGCCTGATGCTTTGCATAAAATAAATGATTTTATTCATAAGGATACAGAATATAATACTTTGGATGTTAAAAGTTTAATGTGTGAAGTAAAAAATTAGCTAGTAATATAGTAAAAATTAATAAACCCATTAGCTGGGTTAAATCAACCCATTATGCTGGGTTAAATAAACAACCCAATTTGCTGGGTAAATTTAACCCAAGATGGGTTCTGTCCTATATTTACCCAGCCCTTGGGTTAATAACAACCCAAATTTGGTTGTTTTTAACCCAGTGTTTTTTAGAGTGTATATTAAAAGTTGCTGTTGGGCCACAGCTGTATTTTTTATATATATACAAACAAATAATTCCTATTATGCGAAAGAAATGTGATAATGATTCTAAAGCCCTTTTGTTCAAACGACTCTCCATCTCTGTCTCTTGCTCTCTATGTGATGACCAACTCTGTCATAGAAAGCAACAGTGATTTTCAACAGTGATGGAAACTCCACAAGTATTTGACAGCAAATTGAATGTCTTGTGTGTGAATTACAGACACCCAACAGAAAGCATCATGCATTAATCTGTTATTGTCATAAATGTATTCTTACTCACCGCAGAAAAACAAATCGCAAAAAGAAAATGCATTGTGAATCACAGAAGACCAGATTTAACAGCCTAAAAAGTCCAGTTGCTTGTTACTAATGAATCTCATTAATTCACAGCACATGTGAGATCAGTCATAAACTGATATTTTTTTCATATTAACCACCTTTACGTTTGCATTCAAAATATCAGACCTCATGCACTCTCTTTCACCGTGGAACACTGTATAAAGACAAATGAGATATACATCCAAGCTTCAAAACCCTCTGCTGACATGTTCATGCTGAAGGCACTACTGTGAAATAGCAGAATAGCCACCTGTGTGCCACTGATTCCAAGACAATGCCCATTTTAAATAGCAAGCCTAAAGCCATTCAGAATCATACCAGTCCACAAATCACAATACCATAAAAATGATTTCAATAATGAATAATCCCTTTTTCATTACATTTAATTACATACTATTTTACACAAATTTAATATAACGGTTGAAGATTTATTTCATGCATACCATTAACGATCAAAAATCACAGCAGTGTTAATGCGACTAAAACATCTTTGCCATCGTTTCCGTTCCTATTACCTTTCCATTCTCAAATAAGCCATCTGATAAGCATCAGTGATTTACTCATCCTTTGCTGGCTTACAAATGGTTCTCTGTGTGAAAAAACGCATCTGTTTGAGCATGCCCCTGTCTTGTCCTTAATTAGACTATAAAACATGGCTGACCTCTACAAAAGACTTCCATCCATCAAGAGAACCAAAAAAATGTCAAAATTAATAGAATGACTAATATATGCATTTTGGAAGACCCAAGCATTAAAAAAGCTTAAATCGATACTGAAAGTGTTGCGTTTAATGATTTTACATTTTTTGTTTGTTTCTGATGCGCATAATTGCCTTAGCAAAAGAACAAATAAACCAAACAGAATGAGTCCCAAAGAATATTGTGTTTTTGTCTCTTGTTGCTGTTCACATGCGGGGATCTCCTGCAGCATATTTAATACAAAAAAAAAAAGTTAATTACCCAAACGTTCAAAGCATTGTTCCTGAAGGCCACATTTCACTCGAGGTCATACAATCACTACTTAATATTTTAGTCGTGCAATTAATCTGTGCGTAGTGTCATAAGTCTATATCATACTGTGTGGGTTTCTGTCTTCAAGCTATAACCCAATAGGATGTTTGTGTTACTTGTTAAATGGTTTATTAATTGTACTGTCACAACAAAACATTAGTACATGCTCCTCAGTTTGAAGTAAAATAGTTTGCTTTATTGTTTTGTCTCGCTCTAAGACAGCTCTATGGTACATATAGGTGTATACTGGGTGTTTCCGATGTAGCATGACAGATTTATGCCAAATGAGAGTGTTTCCCACCTATATGGCTGAAAATTAATGGATGTATGGACTTCCGTAATAATAAAAATCAGGCAAGAAGTCATAATAAACCCCAGCAAATATACACCTAAACTATATTTGAATGCATTTGTTATCATGTTTAGAGACACTTTTGCAGCTTACCCAGTCTGACTCAATCCATTGCATCTCAGTTCACAGAGAGACTGGTACCTGTTGGAAGGATAAATCAAATTTAGGATATAGATTTCGAGGCGCTATTAGTATAATACACAAAATGAAGTAAGAAGAGACAATGAGTAAGACTACAAGTCAAAACAAACGTACACTCGCATGCACAAATAACAGATGGATTGAAAACAGTTTGACAAAGCATATGTTACTATCAAAAAAGTAAACCAATTTGTGGGGCTGGACAAAAGCTGTCGGAGCAGAATATGATTTGAGAGCAACCATCTTTTTCAGCGTGTCTGGTTAAAAAGCTTAGTTTAGCTGGTCAGGTATTAAAGATCAGTTTTAGCTTCTTTTAAAAGATGGATTGTTAATTGTTTTTTCTTCTTCTTATGTGTTAGTAAGTCATTTTTGATGTCACTAGTTAACTTTATTAGCGGATTTAGAGGGCCGAGGCATTTATTTGGGGTTAGTGAGGGCAGGTTTACTTTTTGAAGTATAAATAACTTAATTTGTGACTGGCATTCGCAACATTAGTTATTATTAGGGTTACCTGCTTAACGTTTAGTCATCCTTTTCGAAGTCTTAATACGCGTCAGCATTCAGTTCTAATAGTCACAAAAAAGAGTTCAGGTCTCTATAGGGCCTTCAATAGTGCTGATATTTAAAAGCATTGGTATTACAACACAGATGCAGCCTTCTGATGTTCATTAACATAAATAGCAAAAGAGGAAAATGTACTGTAGGTAGCAGAGATAAAGCATTTTAACTGGATCCCATTCACTCCTGCGAGTGATGAAACTGTGAATATCAGCCATATTCACATTGGCTACAGTGGTTAACACCAAAGACTGAAGGCACTTAGAACATCTTATTGGAATATTGGGACGTTCTTACCTCCTGAATCTCCATATCATTCTCAGAGTCACGTTAGCGCAGACAAGTCAGTCCGACTTATTGTTTAATAAGCTGAAGCTTAAAGAGTGTGTTAAAAAAGATTCAATTTATTGGTCTAAACAGTTGATTTCCATTAACATGTTAAACATTTAAATGACTAATCAAGAGTCAATGAACAATTTAGAGCTAAATGTTAAAAATTATTTAACAAAGTTTAATTCTATTAATTAAGCTTATCTATTATTACACAAAATGACTTGACAACGTTTCTACGGTTCCTTTTTGTGGCTTTTCTTTGTTAAATAGATATCTATAAAAAAACATATTATCCATTTCCTCAGGTCATACAGGCATTTAGTACTACAGACAAGTACGTACCTAATCTAATTTTACAAAAATGATCTCATCTTTATTAACAAATTATAGCAACACAAGTTTAACAATTATGATCACCTATTTAGAGAAGCTTGCACAAGGCGCTTTACATCCTTTTTATTACATTTTTATGTACAAATACAAGCTACACACAAAGCAAAGCACTTGGATGTGGCTACATACATAGCCAATTGCTTTCAAACCCAATACTGATATCAAAATTAAATGTACAAACTCAGTATTTACCATCATCAAATCAAGAATTACGAAAGATGTTATGTACAAAATGAGTCTCTCCTCATACATTTTTGTCTTAACGCAATGTGTGGCTAATTCCATGCTTTACATTTGGGGGACAAACAATGGAAAACTAAAGGAAGGAGCATTCAATGACAAAAGTACACTGCCAAATCCTAGCCAGAATTAACGTTCATAAGGTATCATACAAAGAAGTCAACAGTTTCATATAAGAAAAGGGACCATGTTGCTCCCCCCCCCCCTCCCCAAGGTTAATGTGAGTTTAAAAACATGATTGACCTATCACTTAACAATCCCATTTTAGATTATTTAGTAAATAAGGTTGACGTTGTATGGAGGTCACATGATCTGGAGCACCTTTAATATCTACCATAGGGGTGATCTCTGTAGCCCCCTCGAGTAAGTCTTGATGCTGGAGCTTTGAGGTTGGGCCGCGATGATATCCAGTCCTCTTCTGCTAAAAGTGGAACGATTAAACGGGAAAAATATAGAACTGCTTACAACAGTTGCAACAGACTTCATTTAAAGTATTTTAGAGAAAAATGGAATTTAACAAGTGAATGTAGATGTTACGAAGGAGAGGAGCCTCTTTAAATGGCTGAAATGCAATGCTATGACGATTTTTAATGCTTCTTTTGTTCTAAGCATTACAAAATTATAAACTGAGCACCAGCTGATCATCTTACACATACATTTCAATAATTCGTTTAGAGCTCCATTCCCGCATCCCATCTAGGGCATTGCATGTTCTCCTCGGTACATTATCGTAGATTTGAGAAATATACAATGTCACATTGCCCTAATTATCAGTTACCAAAGGCAGAGCAGATGAGGCATGAACTCCTGGCTGAGCTCACAGTATGACCCTGCTGTCATTTAAATACAGTATGTGTTGGGAGCCGATGCTCCATTAGGTTCTCTGAGTGTGATCGCTGGGCCATTGAGGAAACAATCAGCCCGCCTTCAGGGCAAAGAACCTTAACCTTCATTGTTGCTAACTAGCATTTCACAGAGAAAGGAGGAAAAACCATTATACATCATGACAAAATCCCTTTTATTCCGGTATTCTGTGTAATGATCACTACCGCACAAAAAGCTCTCCCTCACTCACATTATATTTAAATAGCTTTTACCCTTAGTTCCTCCTCACTGTGAAAAACTATCTCTTCTCATTGCAATCTTATGGAAGTCTGTTTCCACCATGAGATACGTTAAAAATAAGAAATAAAGTCACATTGTGAGGTATATATTGTTACAATTACGATAAATAAATTCATAATTGTGAGATCAAATGGTCAAATAGTAAATAATAACGATTGATTTGCAATTGCAAGATAGTCAAATTGTGAGGAAAAAGTCAAATTTTGTTATACTGTATTAAGTCATAAAATTGTGAGATACAGTGACAATTACAACAAATGAAGTCACAATAGTGTTGTCACATTGTGACAAAAATTCACTATTGTGAGAAATAAAGTCAAAATTGTGAGACAGTCACAATTACAACAAATAGTCACAATTGTATGAAGTCACATTGCAAAATAGTCACAACTGCGATATATAAAGTCACACTGCAAGAAATAAAGTCAAAATTGTCATACAGTCACATTGCAAGAAATAGTTTCACACAATTGTGAGGCATAAAGTCAAATTTTGAAAAATAAAGTCACACTGTTAGAAATTGTCACAATTGTGATATAAAGTCACATTGCAAGAAATAAAGTTGCAATTATGAAAAATGAATTACTTATTTTCTTGCTGCTTTGAAACAGTTGCATAAAGTGCTATATAAATAAATGTGACTTGACTTCTCATCAAGTTGATCAATTATGAATCTAATGTGTCATTATTCTGCTCTATTTAGTTTAATGTTGTTTCAATTCAGTTTAATAAAAGGGTCAATGTTGCAAAGTTAGTGTCATTATCCAGCTCAATTCAGTTCAAATTTTGTTCTTATCTGAACGTGGAGTGACGTAACAGTGTAGTTAAATCAATAATATTACTAAATATTGTCTTGTAACCAAACAGCTGTGAGAAACAAAGCTTCAACTGTGAAACTTAAAGACACTGTGTGCAATAGGAAGTCAGAAAATCGCTATTGTGAGATACAGAGTCTCAATTACTGTTTTGTTTTGTTTTTTACTCTGAGGTGGTATGGGCAAAACCTTTCCTAACACAATGAAATCTTGGTTTCAAGCCAAGAAGTGGCAAAACGTCAACTCATTCCTGTTAACACTTTGACACTCCACTGCACAATTTGTCACAATGCAAAATTAATGAGCAGGCACGTACACAATGGGAAACTGGCATCAGAGGAAAACAACAATCCATGCCAAGAACAGAGGGAATACTGCATCAAATGTAATCCACAGAGGGCACATATTCAAAAGCCAAAGTAATGGATGAAAGGCCATTCTGACTCTGTTGGTGGGCCTCAGCAATGCCTCCAGCTATCTACTGGCTAAAGTCCACGTTTTCAAGTGCATCTTAAAACCCAGCCCTGAAGCAGACTAGTAAGGTAAGATGGCAGATGCTGTGGCCTGGGCCTCGGTGATTTAACAACTGGCAAACGCCGCTAGGTGTTTTTCCTTACCTTTAGCTCTGAAACATTTAACAGCAATATGGAAAATGAATGAGGCAAAGAGGTTTCTCACTGGTGTGGGCAATGTGCCATGACTGAGTTTCAGCCCGCCTGCTATGCAAACTACAGCTATGCAAGAGGGTGTTTCTCTTTGTGGTGCACCATTCAAAACGGATGACCTAAAATCCTAATAGTTTCCTAGTAAGCTAAAAGAAAAGTGGATGAAAAAGTTATGTTGTTTTAGAAGAACTGTAGATCAGATGCTTACCATAATTGTTGTAGGCTTCATCATTATTACCGTGTCCATATTCATAATATTCTGAGACACTGTAGGAGGGAAAATAATTCTTATGAGACATTTTGACAGATACGTAGAGTCAAAGTTAAGCATTAAGTAGCTCATGTTGTGACAAAATGTCTTTTAAAAATAAATGTGCACCTTTTCTGCTTTGTGCACTGGTTGCTGTAGTTGTCATCATAGCCCTCATAACTCTGGTCATCATATTCCCCATCATAACCATCATCGTATCCCTGAAATCACAGAAACACAAACGAATAATCACAGAGGGCGACGCTAGAGGACTGAATCTGTCTCAATGCAGCACTCTAATTGTTTATGGTTGAAAAATCAATGTTTAATTACACCGCGATAGGATTTCTCTAGTAAATATACTCCCAGAGTGGAGGACTGGCACAGCTGAATCATGTCCAACAGAAAATACTGATCAATGAGCGACAATTGTCTCATTTGCCATGTTTGAAGACAAGTGGATAATGCCTAGGTCGATCAAGTATTACAGACAAAAGAAACAATAAACAGATTAAAACTTCATGATGAGATGTTCAGGAGATCCTACATGAGTCATGTCATCCATACACTTTTTCTTACTCTTTTTTTTTTTTTTAAGCTTTCATTGATATTGAAAGAAATTATTCTTTTTACAATGCACATACGGAATATGCAGCACATAAGAATCTTTTGGGAAAAAGCATCTGAATGGGACATTCTGTTTTGCATAAACAAAATGGAGCACATTTGTATGACTATTAAAATTTGTTTGTGTCATCTACTGCTCCAGGTTCAGAAGATTTTGAACAATGGTCGGTGCATCCCATGTCCGTAGCTGGCAGAATTAATTCTGTAAAAATGAATACCCTCCCAAAGTTTATGTATTTGTTTCAGTGCATTCCCATTTTTCTTTCTCAATCCTTTTTTTCAGAAACTGGATAGGTTAGTTTCAGAGTTTATTTGGAATAAAAAGACTGCTAGGATTAGCAAAGCACTTCTTCAGCGACCTAAATCTCTGGTGGGTATGGGCTTACCCAACTTTAGACACTACTACTGGGCTGCCAATTTCAGGGTTTTTCAATACTGGTTAAACCAGTCCCAGTCGCAAAGCTCACCTATGTGGCTTGCCATAGAAACAACTTCATGTATCCCTACTACATTGACTGCCCTGTTATACTCCCCTATTAATAGTTTACACTCTACCTATACAAAAAATGTAATTGTAAAAACGTCATTACGAATCTGGAGACTGTTTAGGCTGTATTATGGATTACAAACATTTTCTATATCTGCCCCTATAGCATCAAACTTTGCTTTTCCACCATCAATGATGGACAGGACTTGTTCTCAGTGGGCAAAATATGGTTTATCAGTGTTTAAAGATTTATATATAGATGATGTTTTTGCATCCTTTCAACAGCTCTCAGATAAGTTTTTGCTGCCCAGAAACAATTTTTTCCGATATTTGCAGGTTCGCAGTTTTATCCATAATATGCATCCTCAGTTCCCTAGCCTCCCCTCTTCCTACTCCTACAGATTTAATACTCGAACCAATGTGTATTGAGAAAGGGATGATTTCAATTTTTTATGACAAAATATGTTCTCTGCATAGAAGCTCACTGACATCCATAAAATCTCAATGGGAGGAAGACTTATTAGAAGACATCTCAGACGAACTGTGGGAAAGCATTTTATACAGAGTGCATTCCTCATCTGTGTGTGCCAAACACAGTTGGATCCAATGCAAAATACTTCATCGTACTCATTGGACTAAGGTCAAACTTTCTAAAATTTACTCTGATGTTGATCCTATTTGTGACCGTTGTCGTCAGGCTCCTGCAACCCTGGCACATATGTTTTGGTTCTGCCCAACTCTATATGGATATTGGTCGGAAATATTTGAGACAATGTCTCAAGTAGTTGGGACAGCAATTAAACCTGTGTCTAACAGCACTGTTTGGTACACTTCCTTTGTCAGTTCGCTGTTCAGGGTACAAGGCAGATTTTGTGGCTTTTGTGTCCCTCTTGGCCAGAAGCCGGATTTTACTGCATTGGAAGTCATCTGCTCCACCTACTCACTCCTTATGGATTAATGACGTTTTTAACTTCATCAAACTGGAAAGAATTAGATATTCACTGAGGGGTTCCTCCAAGAACTTTTATAAAATTTGGGGTTCTCTCCTTGGATATATGGAAACGTACACTCCCTGCATACTGGAAGATAGTTAATTTTTACATTATTCTCTACTGTGTGACTGCTCCTGTTATAAGACTTTCAGTTTGTTGTTTAAACAATTGTTTTGGTTGGCACAAGTGTTTTTTTTTTTTTTTAATCAGTCCACCTGGAAATATCCCTGCCTATCTTCTTTCTTTCTACATATGTTAAAATGTACAACAGTATTCTAAAATGTTTGATGTTTTGTAATTTGTGGAAAATCCTATAAATAAAGTGGGGGGGGGGGGAA